ATATGTATACTAGCTCCTCCGACAGCCCTAATTTCCCAAAGGAATTCTCTCCCTGGCTTTCCAATTAGGACATAGGTAATCCATTGCTTAAATCAGGCGTAAACTGTTGCCCCAAGCATCTGAAGGGTTTTTTGGGTTTTTTTGTTTTGTTTTGTTTTTTTAAATATATTTTATTGATTTTGTACAGAGAAGAAGGGAGAGAGATAGAGAGTTAGAAACATCGATGAGAGGGTCATCGATCAGCTGCCTCTTGCACACCCCCTACTGGGGATATGCCCGCAACCAAGGTACATGCCCTTGACAGGAATCGAACCTGGGACCTTTCAGTCCCCAAGCCGATGCTCTATCCACTGAGCCAAACCGGTTTAGGCGGGTTTTTGTTTTTTGTTTTTTTCTATTGGCCTCACAATGTTTTCAATCAATGGTCACTGCTTTTCCACCATCAATAAGTTCTGAATTGGGTGAAATAGATCAGAGCACCACCATGCATCAGTCCCTCAACAAGCTCCAGGCAGATTAGAATACACAAATACAGTAATTTGTCTCCCTCTGGAATTAGGAACCTCGATCCCACACTGGGTACGTAAGCCGCTGTCTTCAAACCTGCTGCCAAGCTGGGGAAGCACTGATAAATCAAAACGCCACAAAGCTTTCCCACCACTTTTAATTACCCTTCTCTTGGTTAAGCATTCACTTTTTCGCTATAAAGCAATGTCAGTTCAGAGTGCTAGCAAAGTTGGTTCTAACCGTTTCTGCTTGTTTCTTCATGTTTCTGTGGACAAATGAGGTTTTGGAGCTGCCCACTCTGCCATTTTCCTGATATCATTCTGTAAGTTTATTTTTAAAGATTTAAAATCTTGTAATGTAGCAAGACTAAATGTAACAACATTGATTTGTGTGCCTTTTTAATTTGAAAAGATGCCTATAGACACTATTTCTAGAAATTTCTATAGAGATCCACGAATTGGATTGAGATGTTATACTGCTAAAATAAAATACAGAGTCGCATAAAATATTAACCTAAAGGATACAATTTCTTAGATTGATTTCAATACTTTGGCTACTGCTATCTCTTTTTTTCTGGCAAGGGCCAGATGGTAATATGATACTAAAAAAAGTGAAATAGCTTACTATTTTTAATTAACTAGCTGTTTCTTGCCCATAATATGTGATTGTAGTTTTATCAGATGAGCATGACAGAAATACATTCCATTGAAACAATTATTAGCAGTTATTTTTATAAAAAGAAAAATACCAATATTCACAGTGGTATTTTATAAACACACACACACACACACACACACACACAGTATTCAGCCAAAAACAGCCTGACTTTTAGACATTTCACCATAAGTTTGAGAAATATTATTATGTAAAATGCAATTATTAAAATATTAAATTTTAGATATCTTAGAACTCCAAATAGAGATACTTTATGTAACTGCTTTTGTAAATAGAATTTTAAAAAAACACAAAACACTTTCACATAGTATTCATTAAAGTCAATTAAAATTATAGTTATGATGGAAATACACTGTAAAATGTTATCAATGAAGTATATTGTTTTAGAATGTAAATGTTTTAGAATGCAATAAAAAGGCATTGCATTCTAAAACATTTCAGTACTAACAGGAGAGAAAAAAACACACCTTGCACTTGATCTGTAGAAACAATTCAATAATGTCTATGTTTATGAGTAAAAACAAATAATCCTAAGAAAATTCATAAATTATAAATAGTTCATTCTAGGCCTTTTAACCTATCTAATAAAGAGGGGATATGCTAATTGATCATCACTCTGTCACAAAGATGGTTGCACCCACAGCTGAGGCCAAGTTCCCATAAGGAGCCTTAAGGAGCAATCAGCAGGCACTTGAGGCTATACCCTCCCTTGCCCCTGTGGGACTTGACAAGGGACTGATTGGTCACTTTCTATGTCAGTTGGCGTCAAAAGCTCTGCCTCCTAGAAAGCCATTGGCTCCTTACATTCATCCAGATTTGGTTCTGATTGGTCAGTTTCTATGCCAGTCAGCATCTCTGGGCTTATCAACAGGGCTTGATCAGAAAGGTGGAGCTGATCAGCAGCTACAGTGGAGGCCTGGAGAGAAATGGAGGTACGGCTGTTAGCCAGGCAGGGGGAAAAAAGAGGCAAGTTCTGATCAATGGCTGCCAGAGGCTACAGATCACACCCTGCCTCTCTCTCTGCAGGTTCTCTCCAGGCCTGATCCACAGCCCCCTAGGCAGACAGTGCTGGGTTGGGGCATCAGCAGTGGCCCCAGTCAGTGCTGACTTCTGGTCTGGTTGAGCCTTCAGTCATAATAGTCATATGACCTTGGCTCTTTATTATATAGATATTTTTAAGTTGTTAATTCACTAAAAGTATAATACACTTGCATAGCAGAACTTATCAAATATCACTGGGTCATGAAATTAATTTCCTAATTAGATCAAGGCCAATATTTATTTAAAATAATACAGGGGTAGGCAAAGTTTATAGTTATTTGTATGAAAAAAAAGATATGCAGGTCCAGCCAGTGCTGCTTAGTAGTTGAGTGTTGACCTATGAACCTGGAGTTAATGGTTCAATTCCCGGTCAGGGCACATTCTCAGGTTGTAGGCTCGCTCCCTGGGTGGAGTGTGCAAGAAGAAGCTAATGAGTGATTCTCTCTCATCATTGATGTCTCTCTCTCTCTCTCTCTCTCTCTCTTTGAAAAAAAATAAAAATATGTTTTTAAAAAGTACATGCAATTTATGATTATTACAGTAGCTTTATTACCTCAAAAGAATGTCACAATGTTACTATAAGCCTACTTTTGCCCACCCTGTAGTATAGAATAGAAAATATCAGTGTGTACTGTACATAAAGCTACACACTTCTTCATAAAACTTTTATTTCTATTATATATATAGAAAAGGCATTATTTTTCTACTATCCCACAAAAGCATTTCATCAGAAGAAAGAGGCTAAAATAGGAGACCCTTGCTATTGCAGTCTTTGGTATAGGAAATTATTATTCTCCACACTGCAATAAGGTTACTCTGTAATTACTTAATGTAAGGCAATCACTTAAAAGAATTACTTCAGAAAGAAAAATATTCAGATTGTTTTACTACTTCTATTAGATTACTAGCTTATATATAATTAATTCATAATTCAGACACGATGCAAATCTGAAGTAAACATCTAATCTATTATAAATTAAGGGGTTCTAAAATACCTCACCATTCTAGAGAAGATTTACATAGTCTCAAAGTTGTCAGCTAATTCATATGTAATCTTTAAATTTAGGGATCTTCATTTTTATTTCTAAGTTCATCTCAGATCAGATTTAAATCTAGAACTTTACTGACTCTCTTTTTTATTGGTAAGTGCATTCCAATTCTAAACTTAAACATTATTCCTGACAAAGTTCTTAAATTTAATTATTAATGAATTCTTTCAAAAAATGTTGGTCAAGGGTACTGTAGGGAGAGTGGTAATGTACATGACCTCTCCCTTCTTCAGGGTCCAAAAGAGTACAGTCTACTGGTCAGAAATGTGGAAGACAATAGTAGGTTTGGAGAATCCAGGCTAATTCTCAGCTCAACCACTTGCTAAACATTAGGCAAACTCATCAATCTCTCTATGGCCTAATTTCTTCCTTTACAAAATGAGTTTAATATCAACTATTTTGCAAAGGTATTGCAAGAGCTAAATGTAAAAGTACAAAAAGTACCTAGTATAGTAATAGGAATGTTATCAAATATTCAAAATTTTCACAAATTCTAGGTTTGCCACATAGAAGCTATTCAATATTCATTGACAAGAAATCTTAAAAACCATTGCCAAAGGGAGTGGATCAAACATAAAATATATTATGATACTATTTTTAATCCAATTATTAAGATAAAATAAATATGGATAATTATCACCTTTTTCTTCATATTCTACTCCCTACTTCATTTTCTACTTCACTTATACCTTAAAACAGGTATTTCAAATCATATAAGCATGTTACCCCATTCCAATACACAAGATAGCTGCCCCCATGTGGTCAAAAATGGTTGCCTCCATGTGGACACAAGATGGCCAACAGGGTAGGGCAGTTGTGGGCAATTGGGCCAGCAGAGAAGGGTAGTTGGGGGTGACTGGGGCTGCAGGGGAGGACAGTTGGGAGGGACCAGGCCTGCAAGGGAGGGTAGTTGGGGGTGACCAGGCCTACAGAGGAGGGCAGTTAGAGGTGATCAGGCCTGAAGGAGAGGGCAGTTAGGGGCGATCAGGTCGGCAGGGGAGGGCAGTCAGGGGCGACCAGGCTGGCAAGGGAGAGAAGTTAGGGGTCACGTGGCCAGCAGGGGAGGGAAGTTAGGTGTAACCAGGCCAGCAGAGGAGGGAAGTTAGGGGTTACCGGGCCTGAAAGGGAGGGCAGGTAGAGGCAATCAGGCCAGCAGGGGGACAGTTAGGTGCCAATCAGGCTGGCAAGGGGGTGGTTAGGGGGAGATCAGGCTGGCAGGTAGAAGCGGTTAAGGGCATTCAGGCAGGTGAGCAGTTGGGAGTCAGCAGTCCTGGATTGTGAGAGGGATGTCCGACTGCCCATCAAACATCCCTGGAGGGGTCCCAGATTGAAGAGAGTGCAGGCTGGGCTAAGGGACACCCGCCCACTCCATGCACATAAGTGCACCAGGCCTCTAGTTTAGTAACATAAAAGGAAAACTGAAGGTTAATTTTTAAAGCTCCATGCAAACCTAAACTGCACACTATTGTTACCTAAAGCAAAATTTGGTACAAGATACAAGTAACAAAAATTTTTTTTAAAAAGGTTGGTTACAGAGGTTCAAGTACTAACTCCAAAAACACAAGTGCATTAATTTATCAATTATAACAACTACACACTAACTCAAACAAATATTCATGTATGCATTAAAAAAGGACTTCTTTTAGTCTCTTGGAATTATTTTTAAGACAACAATCTTTTAAAGTGCTGCTACAAGAAGACATTTTGAGTTTAGATGTTAAAACTTACCTGTTTGAGTCCTTCATCAGTCAGTTTGTCCTGGTTGCCCACATGAACTTTCTGAAGTAAAGGGCAGTGAGAGGCAACCGCGATAATGGAGGTGTCAGACAGCTGCTTACACCTGTAGGCTGTATACCTAAGAAGTCCAGGACACTTAAATGCTAGCACACACACGCCAGTATCAGACATACTGCGACAATCAGAAATGTTGATTTCAATTATATTTTGACTCCTTGATGCAATTTTCTCCAATAATTCATCAGTGACCTGTGAGAGAGAAAAAAGCAATATATTTAATGTAGAACCTTATTTTCCATTGTTTTATTACATTCCCCCCAATAAACAAAATAATTAGATTATTGAATGAAAACCACAAGAAAATCTTTCTGCTTGACATTAAAGCATGGTAAGAACTTTGGTATAATAAAAACATATTTGATATTTCTGTCTCTAGGTTCTTGAAAGAGCTCCTAAAACCTTGGTGTTTCTTGAGTGATGGTGGTTATGTGAGAGTTGGCTTATTCCAACTCACAAGATGTGTAAGATGTACTTCTTTCCAAATCCATGACATCACTACATACAGTGATATCACATTGGTAGCGTGAAATTAACTACAGTCAGAGTAGTCATATCACAGAAAATGGCAACTATTACAAATTAGGGCTTTTTATTTGTTCATTCATTTTCAAAAGCCAGTTGTTACACATTTACCAGCACACCACTACTAACAAATATCATAGAAGGATTTAGAACAATTTTAGTACTCTAAAAAAATTCTATCCTTATTGGATATTTTTATATATTTCCAATGTCAAGTATTGGCACACAAGTTTAAAGGAAGAATTGCAAATGGTTTGCAATAAGCACTATTAACCCTTTTTTTTTCCTTAACATATGCCAGCATATAAACTTTTTGGGCAGCCAGGTAATGAAGAGGATTAAAAAATTCTTCATTAAAATTAAAATTAAAACAAATAAGCTATCTTATCCCATTTTGCTTCCATTACTTCATCTATAATAACAGTATAAGGTTAGTATTATTAACATTATAACAATAATATATTAATAGGGATAATAATAGTGCAACTCATAAGGTTATTAAGAAGATAAAATGAATTAATATGTAAAAGCCAGTAGAACAGTATATGACACATCAGCAGTACAATATAAATGTTTGCCATCATTTTCTACTATTAAACTGTTATTCATGATATGACCCTTGCAAAAAGGGGAAAGTTTAATTGTTTTAAAGGGGTAATGAAAAAGAAAAATGAACAGGAATAAAACAAAGAGGATTAAGAAGCAACCCAAAATTATCAATCCAAACTAGAAATTATCTTCTTGACGATAAGAACTTCTTTTTTAACTTAAATTCACATACAAAGATACTAAAGCACAGAATTACAGATTACAGTCATTTAAATTATCTTGAAAAACTACAACATGAAAGATGTAATTTCTGAAGAGGAATAAAGTTTTTTTTAATAAATCAAATTGAGTGTTTCTGAGAATTAGATTACATATACCTGCTGACGACTACTAAGATCCAGCTGCTTCCAAAACTGGAAATCTAAACAAAGGTCACGCCAGTACTTGCAAACCAATGATGCAGAAAGGCAGCGTTCATCCAGGGATAAATTGGAAAATATCTGTGAATATAGAAGAAACCATGTATATGCTTAAACATTTTAAAGGCTTTAATTTCTTAGAAAAATATTAACTTTAAAGCACAAAAATATGTTGAATACAAAAAGCCATTATTAGAAGAGTCATTGTTAGAGACTCTCCTAAAGAGAAAAACATGGCATAGGAGTAAAAAACACGGACCAACATTACCTTTCACGTAAGAAAAGGAGCAAAGGAGATGTATGCATGTGTGAGAGTGTGCACATGTATGTGTGTGTATGTTTGCCAACATTTAAAAAAAAAAATTTAAAAGGATAGGCCAAAAATTAATTTTAAAAATACTCATCTTTAAGGGAAGGGAGAAAAGGCTAGGAAGGGGATGAAAGTGAAACTATTCTGAAGATACCTTGTTTTATAGTTCTGACCTTAGAACCAGGTGAACTTTTTATATGATTTTTTTAATGTCATAAAAAGGACATTTTACCTAGACAATATTTTTTTCCAGAACTTCATAAACCCAATCTAATCCCAAGGAAACTATCGCTTATCCCAAATATAGAACATCCCACAAAATATGTGATGAGGACTCCTCAGAAAATCAAGATCAGGAAAAAACAAAGAAAGGCTGAGAAAGTATCAAAGATAAGAGGAGAATAAGGAGGAATGAACTGGGAAAAGGTCACTACTTTAAAGCACAAAAACATGTTGTGGGATCAAAGCTGATCTCACTCTTCGACAAAGGTATCGTAGTAATGTAAGGTAATTAATTTAGGGGAAACTGAAAGTGCGTAAGGAGGAGTCTGCACTACCTTTGTAACTTTTTTGACTAAAATTATCCCAAAATTAAATGCTTATTTTTAAAAGAATTTTAAAAGTAAAAATTATTTTTCAATGGTCAGGATTAGGACCAATATTGATTTTTTTAAAATTCAGAGACATTATCACAAATACAATTGTGGACCATATTGAGATCCTGAATTGAACCAACTATAAGATATTTCAGAGATAATCAGATAAAACTGAACATAAAAGAGACAGTAAATGATTTAACAAAAATTATTTCTAGTCGAAAGCGGTTTGGCTCAGTGGATAGAGAATTGAGGCCGCCTTTTCAAATTAACATACAGCACCCATTCTTCATCTCCGGTAACAATTTGCTCTAAAAACGGCAAACAGTTTTGACGAGAGAGGAGCGAACTGCAAATTGTGACTCTTTGATTACTGTGGTTGTCGGTCAACTCATGAGGAACCATTTTCCAAACTTTTGGACTTTGCTAAGTGCACGCAATTGATTGGAAATTGGTTTTTTGTGAACAATTTAAAGTTGTCGCAAGCTCTTGTTGGGTAATTTGAGGATTTTGCACCAAAAGAGCTTGAAGAGCGTCTTGATCAAAATTGGACACACGGCCTCGACCACTCTTGTCATCTAACAAAAAATTTCCCTCGCGAAATTTCTCAAACCAACGCTGGCATTTTCTGGCGCTAACTGCATCTTGACCAAGAGCACTACAGATGTTTTTTGCAGCCTCACTTGCTTTTCTTCCTAATTGGAACTCGTAAAGCATGCAGTGCCGAATATGCTCTTCATCCGCCATCTTCTTAGCCCTAGTTTTGCAACAAAAACCAAACCAAACACAAACTTTTTCAAGCAAAACTTGTTAATTGCACTTCACACGTACTGTAGATACCACGTGTTTGAAGGTTATGTCAATACAAGTCAACGCCAAGCAAGATTTTAAACGAATGTTTAAAAACGACATTAATTATTACTAGACCCGATAGTTGTTTTTTTTTTGTCCTCCAAGGACTAAGTGGAAACAGGCTTAAGAATCATTGGCAGAGATGTAGTTAGGCCCACTGCAGTCCTTCACCCCCATTCATAACAACTAAAACCACTGGACAACATAGCAAATGCAATTACCTCAGGAGTCCAAAAGATTAATAACGTATGGATTGGGGAGGTGAGCCAAACTTAAAGAATTTCCAGTAACAGAGTTTCCTTTTCTCTACCAGTGTGGAACTGAGGATGGCCCCAGTACAGAACTATATGGCAGGCATAACTAATGAAAACAAAAAGAGAAAGTCATCTCTCTGGACAGAAAGAGAGCCTCTGTGAAAAAGAATGTGGCCGAAACCGGTTTGGCTCAGTGGTAGAGCGTCGGTCTACAGACTGAAAAGTCCCAGGTTTGATTCTGGTCAAGGGCATGTACCTTGGTTGCGGGCACATCCCCGGTAGGGGTGTGCAAGAGACAGCTGGTCGATGTTTCTCTCTCATCGTTTCTAGCTCTCTATCTCTCTCCCTTCCCCTCTGTAAAAAATCAATAAAATATATTTAAAAAAAAGAAAAAGAGAATGTGGGAAGAGTCCCCATTCGGGGGGTTCTCTTTTCTTTCACTTTTCCCTATTCTCTCTACTGGCCATGTCCCAAATTCAGCCTCAGTCACAGAGCTGCAATGTGTCAGCTGTGCAGGCACCTAAAATTCCATAAGCCCATCTTTGGCCACAAGAACCAGGAAAAAATCCTGTGGACCAAAGAGTGTGAGAAGAACCTCCATTACCTTTTTCTTACCACTTCATCATGTAAACAGCCCAAATTCTGCAAATCCATATAGCAGCACAGGCAAATAACACATGCTATAACTATGAGGGAAATTCCATTTTTCTATCTAGAGAACCAGGAAAAGAGATCACTAGGTCACAGAGTGTGAAGGAATGATCAAAGGAGAGATCTGGAAAGAGCACTCCTAATTCAGTGACAGAAGTGACAAAAACAAAACAAAAACAAAAACAAACCTGAGTTAACCACAAAGCTACACATGTGTAGAAGAAACCCAAAGAAATTGCACAGCAAAATCTTGAAAACTAGGTTAACAATGGAATTACAGGCCAAGTAAAATGAGATAGGAATTTCAATCTAAGTATAACATTTCTGTCCCCTGGCAAATCTGATAAATCTAGACAGTCATAAAACTCAATGAATCCCAATAGGATTAACTCAAAGAGATCTACCTAAGACACATTATAATCAAATTGTCAGAAGATAAAGAGAGAACCCTGAAAGCAGGCAGAGAAAAGTAATTCATTATATTCAAAAGACTTTCAATCAAATTAACATCTGATTTCTCATCAGAAACCCTGTAAGCCAGCAAGCAATGGGATAACATACTTAAAAGCGCTGAAAGAAGAACTCTAAACCAGTAATTCTATATCTAGCAAAATTATCCTTCAAAGATGAAGGCAAAATTGAGATATTTCCAGATAAATGAACATTGGGGGATTTTATCACAAGTAGACCTAACTACAAGAAATGCTAAAGGGAATCCTTCAGACTGAAATGAAGGAACACTTGAAAGCACAGTAGCTTGAAAGCACACCCAAAAAAATAAAGAACACCAATAAAGGTAAGTATTTATGCAGGTAAATATAAAATTCAGTTAATTGTTAATGTATTTTTGGCTTTTACTCCATTTCTAAAGGATTGAAAATGACAACCACATAAAATAATAATTAGAAATCTAATTAGTTGTGTTAATTGTATCAACACAAAACATATACAGCAATAACAACATAAATATGAAAACGTTTTTATATACCACTAGAGGCCTGGTGCATAAAATTTGTGTGTGGGGGGGGGGGTCCACTCAGCCCAGCCTGCACCCTCTCCAATCCAGACCCCTAGAGGGATATCCAATTGTCAGACATCCTTTTCACAATCTGGGACTGCTGGCTCTAACTGTTCACCTGCTTGCCTGCCTGCCTGATCACCCCTAACTGCTCCCCCCTGCCGGCCTGTTCCCCCCCAACTGCCCCCCCACCGGTCTGGTCGCCCTCCTGCTGGCCTGGTCTCTCCATGCAGCCTGCTGTTCAGTTGTTTGGTTATCCCTCACTAAACTCCCTGCCGACCTGGTGGTCCCATTCAGCCTGCTTTTCAGTCATTTGATGGTCCCTCACTAAACCCCAGCCAACCTGTTGTTTGTCGTCCATACAGTTGTTTCAGTCATGATGGCCCCTGGCTTTTGATATATTAGGATTAACACTAAATTGGTATTTGTAGTTTAAATGCCTGACATCAAGCTTTTGATTGCCAAGACATCTATTTCAAAATACATCAATTTTGAGTAAGCATACTGTTAGTTATATGACACAGCTACTAGCAAAACAACCAGATAAGGAACTAGGTTACCACCACCCATGAAGGTCTGACCTTCAGAAAGGCCTGGCTAACCTAGAGTGGCCTCATTTCTCTCTTCCTGCTCTAATTCCTGCCCCAATCCCTGCACTTGTGCTTTAAGTTTGTCCATTAAAGTAAACCCGCAAAACTCTAGACACCCCACCCTTGAACTTTACTAAAGGCAGAGCCCCAAGTCCACATTCTCTCTAACCATGACCTGGCTATGTGGGCCCTCCAGAATATGAAAGTAATAAATCTTGTTCCTCAAAGTTGCCTGATGGTTCTTTGCTAAAGTGTAACCTTTAATCATAAACAAGAAGCAAAAGAGCAGGTCCAAACATATATAAGGGCCCTGCTGGAGGAAATGTCTCGAACTGGCTAGGACAGAGGTGTGCCTGGGCAAGCACTGTGTGCATTTCTGACCCAGGACACTCCCATCAACAGGCTTCAGGCCAACGGAACAATATTAACCAAAATGAAATTGTTATAAATTATGCTGTTAATTATAAACCTCGGGGCAAATGCTAAGAACATAACTAAACACAGTCACAAATAACTTAACAGGAATGCATTCTGAGAAATGGATCATTAGGTGATTTTGTCATGTAAATATCACAGAGTGCACTTACACAAACCTGGACGGTATAACCTACTATACACCTAGCCTACGTGGTATATAAAGCCTGCTGCTCCAAGGCTACAGATCTGCACTGCATGTCACTGCACTGAATACTCCAGGCAACTGAAACACAGTATATTTGTGGAGATCCATAATCTCTGTGTGGGCTGGAAAGAGCACACTCAGGCTTCGCCATTTTCAAGTCAGCTTTAGCCCCTGCTTTCTGCTAGACA